TGGAGAGGAGGTAGAAGGCTTTAGCACCCGTGTCCTTGGATAATGCAAAGCGAAAGACTGCTCGAGAGTAGTAGAGGATCAGGCGACCTCCTCCGCCTTCTTCTCTTTCTCCTCCCCCTCTTATTTTTTATGCAGTTTGGCCCCCTTGCGATCAAGATGAGGGATTCGGGGATGGCTCAGCCTCTTTTTGGCCTGCAGGATCGGGCCGCAGTGCCTTGCCGACGGTTGGTTGCTCGATAGTAGAGCTCAATTCTTTCGAGTCTGGGGTCGGATCCGCTGCCATTAAGCTGAACAAAGATTTTGCAAGAAACAAAGCAAGAGAGATTCAACACAGGTACAAGGTTGTCAGGTCGATGACAAGTAAAACAAATTAAGTGCCTACCTATATCAGTGATCGGACAAACAACGCAAGCGACCAACTTGCAGTGAGAGAGAAGTTGGAGGTTATCTGTAAGTTTAACGACGTGGAAGGGTTATTTGTTCCACTTGCCAATCAATTTGTTGTAATAAGCGGACGAATTAGGTTTTTTAACTTGGCCAGGGAGCTCATGAAGCTTCTCAGGCGAGAATTCAAAAGTGTTCGGAGGAGGTCAGATGAAAAAGTATTTTGTTTTCCAGGCCGTGACGTTGGAAGGCAGTGCTTCTGGGGTTTCATCCACAGGAAGTAAAAGTAGAAGTCAAAGTCTAACCTACCGAATTGACATCAGCTAAGGATGAGGTAAAGTTATTTAAGCGAAGGTGGCAGAGCCGACTGCGCTCGATCAGGTCGTCCTTCAAGAGAAATTTAAGTTCGGAAAAAATCATCCAAGAAGAAAGGATAATAACCTGAGGGGGCTAAAAAAAGGGTTCCCTAGGAACCTTGAAGTCCTAATCTCGGGGGAGCTCCATCTAAGAATATGGCCGTTGGAGAGTGATAGGGTTGGGTTTGACAACTCTCATGAGGTCGGTCAAAACTTCGGACTTTTTACCTTTGACCACGGTGATCGGTTCAAAGGGGCTTAGTCTGTTTTTCATCACATAATCCTGTGAAGAAGCTCACTCAGGTGGCTCAAGGTACATGTTAACCTAAGATAAAGAGCTCGGAGGTCGTGAACCTCATATAGCTCGGACATTGGAAGAAACCTCATGGGTTGGAGGTCGTAGAGAGGAAGGTTGTGGTTACGACCTAGCAACAGACTATAGCATGTAGGCGATGAGGTTGTCTGGGCGACTTAAAAGCCATAGAGTAAGAAGGGACAAGAATCCTTTAAAGGAGGGAAATTATATTTTGCTAGGAGTCTCAGATACTAGAAACATGGTAAGTTAGGAAGGTAGATACGGGAGGATCTCCTTCCTAACTAAGATTCTCTTGGGCATCAAGATGCCATAAGTATATAAGGGTGACCGGGCTCTTTCGTTTTACATATCGCATACACGTATACTCGAGTACATATATTGCTAGTTTTCTCTCACGAGCAAGGACTGACTTAAGCGATGGAGGTTTTCGGCCGAGACCCATAGCTGGCGTTTTGTAATTCACGAGAGCTCGAAGTCAACGTTCATTCATGGTGTTCCGATTCAATCTAGTTTAGGTCAATTTGCATATCACTTAGGTCCCTAGATCAACCCAACGACACCATGACCTATCCGCCATAAACTCTTACCATGTCGAACCCTGAGCTTTACCTCCCCTCATCTATCTATGAGCTTGGTTCCTCGATCCTTTAACTAGGTCGACTCGTACCTTAAGGTGTCAAAGCGAGCTCCATGACAAGGTCAAACACTAATACCGTATGAATTATATTTTTGTTTTCTGTTTTATTGTACGAATTGTATAAACTGAAAACTCAACTTTAGTTCAAAGGTTTCCCGTTTTATTCTACAATCAGTTAGTAACTGAAAACTCAACTTTAGTTCAAAGGTTTCCCGTTTTATTCTACAATCAGTTAGTAACATACCTGCCATAATTATTAAACCCGGCCAGGACATCGATTCGGGCAAGCCCCTGGTCACTGGGACACCGTTTCAATTCTCAGGTTATCGGTCAATTGTTGAAACGAATAATAATTTTAAATATTAAAATTATAAATATATAAAAAATTTTACAATATATATATAGGTGCCATGTTGATTCCCTGGTCGACCGGATCAAGGTCATTTTGACCAGGTTTGACTGGGTCCGAAGTCACCCAATCCGAAGCACCGACTCAAACCGGTCTCAAATCCAGGTCGATCACGTCCCAAGTCGAACCACCGGCCTGACCCAGGTTGTAAAATTGTACTCCCTGCATATAAATGCAGATGCATAGTTTTCCATGTCAAATTTTGGTGCTTCCAGAATGTGTCAATTTCTAATTCTTTAAAATCCTAGGTGTCTAGTTCTGATTTCAGAATATAAGATTTGGGTCTTAATTTAACACAATAACTAAATTTAGCGCTTATAAAATTTCCCAACTCAAAATCCTACACATTAATCTAATTAATTTTTTCAAAATTCATTATAGTTATCCAACGTATCCAATCAATTCAAAATAACTTATAGTCAATCACCCTCTACCTTATTAATTGTCTTTTGAATTTTCATGTGTAATGCTTGATTGAACTTTATTTCAGGTCTTCTTTCTTTGGCAGATTAATTGTCAAAAGAAAAAAATTGCCTTTTGAATTTTCATGTGTAAGGCTTGACTCTGAACTTTATTTCAGGTTTGCGTTATACAGAAATGCTATGGAGTCATGGCTTGGATTTTACATTATCTCTCAAAGTATGACCTTTATTTAGGGGCTATTTTTTCAAATTTTTTTAGTTGAAGACTTCAAATTTGCAAACCATTCTCAAAGTAAGATCCAGATGAATTCTCAAGTTTTAATGTTATTTTTTCAATTAGTAAAAAATATTTTTTGATTGACTAGTTAATTAAAAATAATTTAAATAAGAACAATGAAGATTTACCCATATTTTGTCATGTTTTTATTTAGTTTATTATAAATTTGATAAAGATAAATTCCACTAAAGTTTAAACAAAATTTACAAGGACTAAAAATTTTCTTAGTATTTTTTGATCTATCATTGCTAAAATTTTTGAAACATTTTCATCACAAGACCTAGATTTTACTAATTGTGTTGAATTAATATTTTTAGTTATATTAACGACATAAGTTTGCTAGTCTAGCTTTGCTTGGCTCTAATCTCCTTTATGGAGTTTAAGTCTCCTTTTATGGAGTTTGTATTTTTGTAGTGTCGATTGTATCCTTGATGGAGTTGTACTCCTTAGATTCATCTGAAATTCCAAGTGGGTAGGTCCAAGTTTTCTAATGCCTTTGTGTCAGTTGACACTCCTTTTGTACTCGTTTGAGTTTTTCAGTTATTTGTTTGCTGTTTCAAAAAATAAAAAGAAAAAAAAAACGACATATGAATTATTTTTCAAGTTGAATTTACAGCTTTAATTCTTATTTCTTTATATTATAATTCAATTATTTAATTGTGAAATTTTTTATTTTTAATAAGAGTCTAAAAAAATTTGATGATTTTGCAGTAGAATAGGTTTTTTTTTTTTTTCATTTCATAAAAAATCGATTTGAGAACAATTTTCAAAATGCAAGCCCCTAGTTGAGAAAATATTAAAATTGAAGTCGCTAATTGAGAATTTATAAAATTTGGGTCTTAATCTAACACAATAACTAAATTTAGCGCTTATAAAATTTCCAACTCAAAATCCTACACTACATTAATCTAATTAATTTTTTCAAAATTCATTATAGTTATCCAACATATCCAATCAATTCAAAATAACTTTTAGTCAATCACCCTCTACCCCTATTAATTTAATCGCATTAATTTAATCGCGAGACGCTCTACGATTAAACATGACTTCTTGTACCGTCCAGAAAAACGTTTTCAAGATTTAATACAATCAGCCGGAACTAGAAAATAGGCTAGACTAAATAGTGAACTCAACCGCGTTCGTTCACTTAAATAGGACGTGTTATTCCCGTTAGTTACCGTCTTCCTGTAACCTCTAATGAATTAAACACAACAACAATTAGGGATTGAAGGTCTAATTAAGATGTAGATATGAAAAGCCTAATTTAGGTGATCAATCTAAATAAGACTCAATACATCATGGTTAATTATTCAAAATAACACAAATAATTCCAAAAAGATATTGAAATCATCAACCATATAAATCAATTAAACATCGTCAATCGTAATAAAAGAACTACCACGCATAGTGCTCGAAAACATAATCATAAAATTAAAGAAAAGAATAAATCTTCTCTGTTATATGCGTCTCTGTTGCTGCGTGCTTTTGGAATAATCTCCTCCAATTCTCTCTGTTCTCCTTTCAATAGCCGCCGCTAGGTATTAAGATAAAAATTCCCCCTCCTCACGTTTTTCTTTCCTTTCCTTTTAACAACCTTGGTCAACATTGGTAACTCAAATAAAGTGGTCTGATCTCTTTTCCTTCATTATCTCAGCCTCATAATAATTTCCTACTCAGCCCAATATAATTAATGGGACATTTTCACTTATCCTACACGATTGTAGGAATATTATAAAATTACCATTAATACACAATTAATTGTATATGTACTTAATAGCTAGTAATTAATTATATTGTTGCCTAAAAATCAGTTACAGATCTTGATTCTATATTCCATATTTAAGAAAAGATAACCAATTGGACCTGCTCAACCACCGCCTGAGACCTCCTTGTCTGCTCGTCTCATGTACGTGATCTCGAGTGTATATTTTAGGTATATTTTATGTATATGTAGGTTCTGAAATCGATATTGAGAAACGATTGAAACTCGAGTGTATATTTAAAGTATATTTTGTGTATATTTTGTGAATATTTTGTGTCTGCTCGTCTCATGTACGTGATCTCGAATGTATATCTTAGGTATATTTTATATATATGTGGGTTCTGAAATCGATTTTGAGAAACGATTGAAACTCGAGTGTATATTTAAAGTATATTTTGTGTAACATATACTCGAGTCCGCTCATATTGCAGGGCGGATCAAAATGAGATCAACTTTTTGCTGGAAATCATCAATGGGCAACAATGGGCGGATCAAAAGTTAATCAAACGAAAATAATTCTAAAAAAAAAATCATCAATGGGATCCGTAGAAGGAAAAAATTGACCCCTCGGCCAAGCCGCTTTTTCTGTTCATTGAAATCACTAAGTCTGGTTGGCTTCTGCACATGAAAGGATTGATAGCTTTTCCCTCTTCCCAACCAGCATGAAGTCTTATTTTGATTGAGCCTTGTAGATAATTAACTAGATAATTAATCCTTCCGTCTTCACTTCTTCTTTTTACCTTTCTTCGCCGCCGGAGTCGAGCCGGCCCTTGCAGTGAGGCCCTTCTTCTTCTTCTTCTTCTTCTTCTTCTTCTTTTTCTTCTTCTTTTTCTTCTCTGTAATGATTTTTCTCTTCTTCGCTTATCATCTGCAAAAATCAATCAGAAATTTTGAGAACGAAGCCTAACGAACAAAAAATAAAAAAAGATTCTATGCGTGAAAACGGGACGGAGGTGTCTAGAGAGAGAGAGGGAGATCCGGCGTGAGTTAGGGTGTATATTTAAACAAAAAACTGGCAGTGCAAATAATTATGGTAATTTTGGTAGGATTGCAAATAAATATATATGAGATGTATATGTGTAATATAAATACTAAGGACTGGTATATGGTGCAAATTTCTCATAATTAATCACCCTGCCAACTCAAATGAGGTGCATGGGCCTTAATATGGGCATTGGGCTTTAATATGGGGCTGTTCAGTCGAGTATGGGGTGCTGTTGGATCAGTACATGGAAGTACAGGACACGAGAGTCGATCATAGTGCAATCCAAAATAGTGCAACACGAGAGTCGATCATACTCTGCTGAAAAGCCCTCTTCAACCTTCTTCACGCATCCCAACGCGTCATCGTGCAATCCGAAATAGTTTCAACAATGTTGAAAATCACTGAATTTCTCATCAAGGCATGAGAGTCGATCATAATATCAAATAAGTCGAAAAATGTATAAATGCGAGGAATTAAACGTGTACAATTACAACATTAAACAATTAATGCAAGCACTTTTTTCGACTAAACACATATTAATTGTCTTTTGAATTTTCATGTGTAATGCTTGACTGAACTTTATTTCAGGTCTTCTTTCTTTAGCAGATTAATTGTCAAAAGAAAAAAAAAAAAAAAATTGCCTTTTGAATTTTCATGTGTAAGGACTTAGGCTTGACTGAACTTTATTTCAGGTTTGCGTTCTTCAGAAATGCTATAGAGTGATCGGATGGTTCCTTTATGGAGTCATTCATAACTTTATATATTGCAGGACATGTGTCAATACACCATTTGTGGATAACTATAGATGACTCCATAAGTCAAGTCATCTGATGGCTCCATAGTAAAACCACAACTTTTTCATTGGCAGATTAATTGTAAAAAAAAAAAAAAAAANAACAATGAAGGCATGTTGAGAAAGTACTTGGTAAACTCAATAAATAAAATTCATCAATTTTAAGAATATTTTTGGCCGAAATTTGAATTATGGTCCGAAAGTTTTAAACTTAACCAATTTCAGAACGATTTTGGCGAAAAAAATAAAAATTCCTACTGACTTTTCTTAAAAGTTGATCAATTTTAAACATTTTTGTCAGAAATAAAAATTTTGACCGATTTTTTTAGAATAAAATTCATGAATGATCATGGTGTGTTATTTTCGAGGCCGGAGTTTTTGACACCAAACAATCAATTATGATTTATGTCACAACTTACATTAAAAACATATATATAAACTCACACTATTTTTTTTGTTAAAATTAACTAATAAGCTAGTTGATTGCTAATAAATTAACTTATAGCTTACAAGTAATATTCGAGTTTATAACTTATAGTTTATGACATATAGCTGAAAAACTACCTTATATGATAAAAGTGTTTGGTAAAATTAGCTGATAAGATGGCTGAAATAAAAAATTCAACGAGTTTATTTGAAAAGTTATTGAAAAAAGCTTATCTTGTAAGCTCGAGTTTTTTAAAAAAAAACCGTTGTACCAAACTAAACATATTTGAATACAGAGATTATGGCCTTGTTTGGTGATCAGCGGATAGCGGATAGCGGATTATATTAATTGATTTGACCAGCGAATTGCATTAGCGGTTTTTAAATAAGTGTTTGGTAAATAGCTGAAAGCTTATAACTGTCTGACATTGCAAAATGACCAATAAGGACATTTTATTATTTATGGTGTATTATTTTAATAATAATATATTAAAACATTTAATATTCTTTAGTTGGTAATTTATAAATATATTATTTTTTTAAAAAAAATTTACTAACACTTGATAAAGAAGTTATGAATTTTATATTTTTCTAGATAAATTAATCATATAGATGACATATTATTATTTATTAGCACCATAAACCAATGTAGATTATAAAATAAATAAAACAAATTAAAAAGTTTCAAGTAAATGATTTTTTGTGAATCCTCTATCCCAAAAAAGTTGCTTTAATGAGTTTTTTCTAAATTATAGTTTTGGGCCCAAAAAGCTTATCAAATAAGCGATTTACCAAACAAGTTCAATAGCGGATTTGACGGGTCAAACCTCTCAATTAAGTATAATCTGCTAATTTATCTTCAATCCGCTATCTACCAAATGGGACCTATAAGATAACCAAATAAGCTATAAACTAGCTTATTTGGTTACCAAACATACAAGATGTGGTTCAAATGAGAACTACTCTTATTGTGAGAATCGTGAAATCCACTAATTTTATTTGTACATAATGCTATGATTGATTGTGTTTTATTTTTATTTTTAACAAAATATATTTTGTTAAAAATAGACACCAAACAACTACATTCTGTCACTGCACACACGTTAGAGACATTGTTTAACTTAACATCTAATCATGGAATCACTACAGTTCCGGAATGATTATGTGATTATTATTAGTCTTTAATACACATGTAGATTAGTGTATAATAGACAATCTATAGTTAAAAAACACTGACTGAATCATTCTGGCACGGGACTGTAGTCATGATTTCCTCTAATGATAGCTTTTGACGCTGATGCTCTATATAGCCTTTGAGTCGGCCCTTTGACGTCATGCATGCTGATGCTGTATAATTGCTACATGTTAGCTATCTACTTCATTTAAATTCTTGTATATAGAACTAGAAATCACCACTCCTTTGAAAAAATAAGTAACCTAGTCCTTAAAGAGCCATAATTCAGAAA